TTTTTGAATGTTAGACTGTTGCTTATGTGAGAGATGTGTGTGTTGTGCGTGTGTGCATTTGTGTGTGTGCACGTCTGTGTGTGTGCATGCATGAGAGAGAGAGAGAGACAGAGAGAGAGAGAGAGAGAGAGTACAGTATGCTAAAAATGAATGCATATGGATCTAATATGAAGGAGGGACAAATGAAAGTGAGAGAAAGGATATGTGTGTAGTTTTGATTGTTTATATTGGGGGGGGGGTTCTACCTCTATTTTCTTTAGGCAAGGTCAGTTCAAGGGCGTCAGCTTATTTCAGTGTCTTCTTTCCCTACTTTTTACTTATAATAATCACATTCTTTTGTGGTTGTTGTTTATTGCACAGGCAATTGTTCTTTGTGTTCCATAGAGATAGATCTCATTCTAATTAGAATCTAACTGGTTATTGTTTCCTGTGACGTCATTGCCATGCTAGCAGAGCTGACAAGGCAGGTTGGGGGAAGGGTGATGCAGATAGATTAGGGATTCGCATGATATTTACAGGCCATGCATGGTCTGATTGGGCGAGGGAATACCAAGGAAAATATGCAAGGGGTGGGGTGGGCTGAGGTGGTCCTTGTAATGTAGGGTTAATAATGGTGCGTGTATTGATTGGGGATTCTGGTTGTCGCTGGTGTCAGCTGCTCCATCTTGTTGGGTCATGGACGTGAATGGAGTGCATGGAGTTGTGGACAATTAATTATAGCACTTATTGGGTGTGGAATTTCCTGCGCTGTAGGAGAATTTTGGGCATACTGGTTCGAGTTATGTTCTATAAATGACATTTGGGTCCTTTAGTATTATAGCATTACTGTCAAACCTGCTCTAATGGCCACCTGTCCAAGACAAGCACCTATTCAAACAACCTCTTCCCACTTTCCCCTTTACATTTTTGCTGTATTGTTATAATGACACTGTCCAAGATGTCCACCTGTTTAAGACAGTCACTTTTTTCTCCCCAATGGGTGGCCGTCATGGACAATTTTGACTATTTTAAAATGTTCTCTGAGGTTTTAGCTGAGATTTAACTTGACATACTTAATGTTCATGAAAGAGCCTCTGTGATTTTTTGTCAGGATTATCCTGCGCTGCACAGCCATCATTGGCAATTACTGTAGGGTATTTATTTGATTGTTGAAATTAAAATCCTTTCTGAATAATATTATACAGAAGTCTCGGCCTAAGATCCCGGTGCTCGGGAGCTAAGAAATGCGGGATCTTAGGCGAACCGGGATCTTAACTGACGATCCCAGGGAAGAATCTATGGGGACCCATATTAAGGCTTACAATCGGTAAAATGGTCTCCCTCCACCTTACAATGAACTGACGTGACCCCTTGGTGTGTTTATGACATATGGCGAGCAAAGAGTGGTTAACCTTGATGGCCTATCACAGTGCATAGTGCCATGAGGCGTGCCATTTTCACTTATTATCCTGAGTCTCAAGATCTACGCTTATTCAGTTGCCCCTCCCCTTTACCTGTCGAAAATGTATAGCTTTCCATCTCTGACTGAGTTCTCCTCACACCCC